ATATTTCAGTTGATCTTGAGTTACTAAGATTTCATGATGCAAAACTCACACCAGGAGGACTACTGTTAAAATGCAAATGTGTAGAGATGTTGTACTCTTTATTTTTATCTATGTTTTAATTTTTTTAGATTTTTTTTATTTTATGTGTTTAGTGTCTTGTCTGCATGTATGCATGTGCACCACATGAGTATCTGTCTGGTGCCTGCAGATTTCACAAGACTGTGTTGGATCTCCTGGAACTGGAGTTTCAGATGGTTGTAAGCTGTCACATGGGTGCTAGGAACCCAACCCTGGTCTTTTGAGAAAACAAGTACTCTTAATGGATGAGCCATTTCTCCAGTCTCAGATATATACATTTTAGCAAAGTTAAGATATAAATGATATCCTTACCAGGCAAATGGCACATTTTCTTTTCCTGTCATTCTGTAAGTGATGCTAAGACCCTTCAGTAAACTACAAAAAGTCTAATAGAACACACTGGCATTCTTGAAGAACATTCTTCAAGACTCTGAAAACTCAGTGTTTCCCTTTGCCTTTGTATATGCAAGAATGAATTTGCCTCCTGCTTTTCCTAAGCTAGATTCGCAAAGGTTACTAGCTCGTATTTGGTATGATCATTAGTAAATAAACACAAACTGCTTAGGTATTAAATCAATTGAAAAGACAAAGCTGAAACAATAGATTTTAGCTGGTCTTAGATACAAGAAGAAAGGGGAAACTGAAAAAAAAATGAAAGTGAAAGAAGAGATTTCAACATGCTGTCAAGTATTTTAGTGAATGCTATAATAAAATGAAAACTTACATAATTTGGAATAGAAAATTCTAGATGATAGAAAAGAGCATGTATTTAAAGATGTGCAAACATTTTTTGACAAAAAATGCTGTTTGTCTGTTTCTGTTTTCATTTTATGTGTTTTAGGGATCTTGTCTAAAAATCCTTGCCTATAGTCATATATATATATATATATATTTATATACTTTTAATGTTTCTGTGCATCATTAAAAACATATTTTATGGGGCTGGAGAGATGGCTCAGTGATTAGGAGAGCACTGGCTGGTCTTGCAGAGGTCCTGGGTTCAATCCCCAGCACCTACAAGACAGGCTCACAGCAGCCTGTGACTCCAGTGTCATGGCATCCAATGCCCTCTTCTGACTTCTGAGATAGCTGCAGTCATGTGGTGCACATACATACATGCAGGTAAAACTCTTAAAAAACACACATATATTTTAAAATAGCTTTAAAAAATAAGTGAACTAGTTCCAAGATATAGTAGGCTCTGCCTCTGGTAAAATCAGAACCAGAACTAACAGATTAGATCATGTGCTTGTGAAAGAGGATTCATTTTTTAAACACATAGTTAAAACAGATGATGTGAACAAATGCATTTCATTAAAGAATTCTTAGGTATGTTATTGTTTTGTTTAAAATATGTTTTCGAGAGATGTTCAATATAGAAGGAGAGAAAGTTGATTTGCAAGAAATGTGTTTTTCCATACTCTTCTGTTGAGTAGCTGCATGACCTATTTCTCTAGGGTGACTCATTTTCAGATGACCAGGAATCAGAGAGTTAAAAGCTACTATTAAGATAAAGTCATGACATATGCAAAGCTGAGATGGATGACTTTCCCTTTGTTTCCCGTGGCTCCTTCCAATACCCCACCAATCCTGTAGACTGCCCAGGTCTTTCAAGGCATGTAAAGAGAAAGTTAAGTCTGATAATCATTAACATTAACACTTTAGCATAAATTTGCTAAAACTACTTTTACTTGCTTTTGAAAAACTGTTGAGTTCTGCAAGCAATGCATCTTCCTTAGAAAGATGACATTCAATACTCTGAAATACTTCAGAGATCCCCTGAGGGATAGAGTTGCTGTGCTTGCTCTGGTCTACCAGCAATAATCTTCGAATCTTATGCATAAGTCTAAAGGTACATTAATATTAAAATAGACATGTATGTTTATATGTTTATATTTGAATAAATTAACATGCCCAACCTGTGATAGTTACTTCCGCTGTTTTATATTAAAATGTTTATGTCAATATTTAAATTGATTAGCATATCTAGCTTATGACAGGCATCCCCACTGCTTCTTTCTTCATTTTTATGCAATGAATTCATAAATCTTCACAAATTTATCTTATTACACCTTAAATCTTAAAACACTTTGTTTTGTTCAGCTGTTCACGACAAAACATGTGTTCTAAAGGTAGGAAATGGCATTAATGTTTTATAAACTAAATACTTTCAGTGGAGGAATACATAAATATTGCTGGAAATGTTGAATCCCATTTATTTCAAAGCAATGTGTTTATTCCGTTGACATCAACATATATTCACAAGGAAGAATTTAAATGAGATTTACAGTTTCCTAGTGGAAACAGGCCACATACCTCCCTCCGTCTTCGAAGTCTCACAGCAGGGAAGCCTTTCTGCTGTCCAGAGATTTGTTCTGCCAATCAAGCACACACTGTGTCTTTCCTCTGTGTGCCCATGTTATGAAGAATGCAAGGTTCCTCTTACACTTTATTGCCAATATAGACATTCACAGTCAGTATACATGTTTTATTGAGATTTTGGGTTTTTTATTTAAAGTTTAGAGCTGTTTTTAGATTAAAATATTTTCTCAAGGGAGATGCTGTTTTTCTCCTTGTGTTGAGATTTTGCTTATATAGTCTAAAGTCAGTAAATGTTAAAAGCACAACACACTGAATTTTTATGTGTTTATGTGTACACTCATGTAGTTATCACTCAAATAAAATCATAAAATATATCCCGAATTCTAGAAGATTCCTGTACACTTGCTCTGAGGTGGTACCCCCCCCTCCATGGTAATCGTTCCTCTAACAGAGATTGGTTGTACAATTATCACAAAAATGGAATAGGTAGTGTGTATTTAGGGGAAATGATACTCCCCCCACTTATATTACCTCTAAGATCCAAACATTTTGATAGGTCAAACCAAATCATTTTTACTGTTATCTAGTTTTTTCATTGTTTATTGTGCAGTGTGTCCTCTTGTTGATGAACTTTTAGGGTGTAACTTTATGAGTAATGATAGCACAGGCATTCTTACCTCACAAGGTCATTTACATTCATGTTTTGCTTTCATGTCTCTTGGGTCATTGAGTTTCTCTTAGAGTTCATGCATCATTAGCTTCAGTAAATACTGTCAAACAGTTTTCTCAAGTGGTTGAACCACTCTCCACCACCACGTGCAATATAGAAGAGCTGAAAACATTAACTGTTTGTCACATCCCCATCAACACTAGGAGTGATAGTTCTTTAATTTTGGTCATTTAATGGAATCTCAGTAGTTTCCTCTACATCTCTGATTACTGGTGAGGTGGTACACCTTTGAATAGGTGAATTGTTAATTTTGGAGATTCTGTTTTGTGAAGTGCTTAAAATGTTTTGAATATATTGGAAAATAAACTTTGTCGTGTTTTGCTCATTTGCGGGAGCTCAGGGTTAGTTCTGGATTCAGTACGTCCTTGGATACTTTCTCCTTATGTATGAGTTGCCTTCTCTCTTTAAGATGCATGTGTTAGAAATACCGTCTCCTGTTCTCTGGCTTGTCTTTCCACACTTCTGATCTTTTGATTAACACAAAACTTTTGATTAACAATTGTTTTAATTTAATGAAGCCCTGTTTATCAATATTTTCTTTCGTCAGTACTTCTTTGTCTCTTTCAAGAAACCCTTGGCTTCTCCAAGTTTACACAGCTTTATGCTTTACCAAACTTGCTTTATGTTTTGTTTTTCACATATATAATTTTCTCTGATTTCTGCATTCAGTGTTTTCCTGTGTCAATATCTAATGCCAGAATCCACTGGTTAAAAAGACCCTCCATTTCCCACTGAGCTGCTGTAGTCTTTTGCAGTAAATGGAGCTAGATGTGGAAGGGTCTGCATTTGGACCTTCTATTCTGTTTGATTGGTCTGTCTTTCTATATGCACACCAATGCCATGTTAAAAGGATTCCTTATATCTCATGGTTTGCCTCCAAGTTATTGTTCAGCTTTACCTTTAGCTATTTTTGTTTCTTTGTTCTTCCATTTAAACTAGAGAATGAGCTTGTCAGTTTTGAAACACACACACACACACACACACACACACACACACACACACACACACACACACACACAGACACCCTGATTGATCTATTGGGATTTTAATTGTCATTCAGAAAGAATATGTTATTTGCTTTTTACTTGCAAATTATATGATAGCATTACTTAAACCTTGAGACCCTTCTAGTCAAATATGCAATGCTGATTCCTTGTCACAACTCTAGGTCTGAGGTGTATTTGTCAAATGAAGGACTGAGGCATTCAGTGGTTAACTGGAAAGTTTAAGGTTTTCACTTTCAGCCAAGCAGCTGGTCAGTTTGGCCATAAGTGGTTTATTTCCTGTCTATACTATAAAATTTAAGACACGAAATGCAAACATAAATCTCGACATTGGAGGATTGAACTTGTGACTATACAGTGTAAAAGGTTTAATGGTCTTAAGTGTAGCTGCATTGTTGTACAGTGGTGTGACTGGGAAGATGGGTGGCAGCCTTGTCAGCATTACTTCTTATGTAACTTATAGTCTGAATTAGATTTAAATATATTAGTTCAAGACTAATGTGTGCACATACATTACTACATTTCTATGATGTGACTTTATTGGACATGTAAACTCACCGAGTAGAGATTATGGATGTCTGAGTAATTGTGATAGTAATAGCCAGTATCACTGTGTTCTCGCCATGGGCCAGGCAATAGCCTATTTTTTTTATATGACCAAACATTAAATCTTCATAGAAATACTGTGGGATGGGGGTCATCATGCCCACTTTGTAGAAATTTAATAAAATAGTTCAGTTTATTTTTGTTTTTACTTTCATCTTGTTTATGATTGTAGCATTCAACTTTGGTAGCATTCAACTTTATTTGGAAAAAAGTAAGATGGGAATGTTAGTTCAAATCATTTGTGTTTGTCTTCTAAATAGAAACAACTTGCCCTATACTGAGAATGGAGGGATATCAAGACAACAGAAACAAACTTGAAGTTTCCGGTAAGTACTCTTGGCTAAGTAGCACTTGGTGCAAAGTGTCCATTCATAGTGACCAAACGCTATGTGGTGGCAGTCCTGTAAAAGACTTCTCTGGGGAGTGGGGATTCAGGGAGCGTAAAGTACAATATTTCATTAAAGGAATAATGATTTCCCTATCTCTTTAGTATGGCTTATGGTGAACGTTCTGTCCTTCCCACTTCCCAGGCAGGGGTGGCTCCACAGCCAGCTCATTGACTGCTCAGATGGAATGTTAGATCTCCACTAAGCCAGAGATTTTTATCCTTCTAGCTGGAAGGACTTTTCCCTAGGTTGGTCCTGAGTGCTCCCTAGGTGGTCCTGAGTGCTCCCTAGGGGGTCCCTAGTGCTCCCTAGGGGGTCCCTAGTGCTCCCTAGGTGGACCTGAGTGCTCCCTAGGTGGTCCCGAGTGCTCCTTTGCCAACATTACAAGTTAAGATCATAAGATCCATATAGAAATAGAAAGTAAATACTGCAGGCCAGACGAAACACTGTCAGCAGAGTTCTCTATTGTTTAATCTCAGGGTAACAATACCTCACCTTGGTGGAGAACAAAAGCTATGTAAAAATCACAGAAGTTGTGCATTCTGCTGCAATTTTGAAAAGAGAAGAGAATATTTTTGAGATGTTTTAACATCCAGATGTAGTCATCATTTCCAGTCTATTTTGGTGTAACATTTTTATATTTTTCTCTTTCTTTATATTTTCTTTCATTATTAATGTTGCCTTTGCTGGTTTTGTTGTTATTACTGTTTCGTTTTTTTGTTTGTCTGTTTGTTTTTTGACAGGCTCTCCCTGTGTAGTCCAGGTTCGCCTCAAACTCAGGATCCTCCTGCTTCAGTCTCCAAAATGTATCCTAGGCCTGTGCTGCTACCAACCCCGGGTCAACATTCTTGTTTCCCTTTTTCTTCCTCTCCTTCCTTTCCATATTCTCTTTCTGTTTTTCTCCAGCTCTCTCATATATACATGATGATAACACACATATTGCACTTGAATCCTAAGCTTTGTCCCATATTCATGTAAGTCTCCTGAAGTGTGTTTTTGTAAGAGACTGTTTAGGTTTGAAAAGAATGGCTACGATTTTTATTCTGCCTAATGTTCTGTTTATACTTAGAGATGGTGCAATGAACTACCGTAATAATTTGCTTAGGTCAATTCCTAAATTAAAGCAAAGTGATAGTGTATTCTTTTGCAACATCTGTGAGAAGCAAGGATGGTGTTGGTGTACATTTGCAGTCTTAGCCCTGGGGAGCCTGAGGGGGGAGTACTGCTGTGCAATCAGACTAGGCAGAGCCGAAAAGAGCTATATTTATGAACCGTTCTTCAGAAAGATAGCTGTGTCTTCTGCAGACAAAGGGAATTTTATTCTCCTGTACCCCAAAAGGAAAGTAAGCAAAAAAGAAATTGAGCACCTTTGTTGATTTCAAATAGGAGGATTTTATTTTAAATCAATCAACCTGTGGATATGGATAACAAATTCCTGTCTAAAAATCAATATGTCTGTGAGTTTATTGCTGGGTTTAATAACACGTCACATTTTACAGGCTTTGATCTGGGAGAAAGCTTTGCTCTGAGGCATGCATTTTGCGAAGGTGATAAAACCTGTTTCAAATTGGGAAGTGCACTTCTTCTCAGAGACACTAGGTGAGTAAACTAATTCGTTTTCATTTTAACAAAACTACAAAAATTATTTTCTAAGACTATTCCAAATTCTTGCTCAAAAATATGAAAGCTCAGTAGTGCCCCCAGTGCTGTAACGAATATATGACTTACGTATTTGATATTGATAAAACTCTGCAATTGAAACTTTTACTTGCATAAAGAAATAGTCTTTAGAAAATTAAATACATTTTTGGAGTAATCTTATTGGCATTTAAAGTAGATATAACTGGTATCTGATTTTAAAAGTGAACTTCGAAATATAAGGTTCAACATAGATTCAGAGGCAAAAGACCGATGTTGTATTTATTCCCACATATACTATGTTTTGTGGTGAATTAAAATAACAGTTGACCTCAGGTGCTTCCTCTATATACCAAATAGAGTTTGAAGTGACAAGAAATTGTTTTGAAGTTTAGTTTTCTGGTATTTATTTCTTGGGTCAAACGTGAACATCCTTGTGTGTAAATGCACTGTTAAGGAAAAGCACCATAGTCCCCTTGGGTTTAGTACTCAGCATAGATGTCTTTGTATGAAGATTAATACAGCATGCATGGATGTTTTCACTTTTGACACACATCTTATTGCCTATCCTCAGATTTTCCACATAGACTAAGCTCATAACTCATTTTCCCCCTCTAGAAATGTTTCTTTTAAACTTCCTGTTTTGTGATGTTTTGGAAAGACTTTAATTTAATGGCATTCTTCTGTTCACTTATTGATGAGAAATAAAGATGTTATGGAAGAGCATAAATTGATATTGGAAGTATGTCAGGAGTGATTGTCATGTGGGGTACTTTCATTAGGTACCATAAGGTATGGCTATTCTGGTGACCTCATGAGCAGATACTGAGGAGCAACCAGTAGTTCCTCACTTTGTTATGCATATGCTGTAAGGAAAAGCAAGATACTCTGTGTGTGTGTGTGTGTGTGTGTGTGTGTGTGTGTGTGTGTGTGTGTGTGTGTGTGTGTAGGGAAGGAGGGAGGGAGGAAGGTTAACTACTGGTAGATAATATTTCCTAATAAATTTAGGAAAGGCAATACATTCTGTTAAAGCATTAAGATGCATTATTTTTCTTGCCTATTTTTTTTCCTGTTGATTTAAATGCCTGTAAGTCTGATAATGTGAGAAAAGAATTGACTGGAGTGAGTTATTTTAAATTCACTGGACTTGTATGAAAGCAGAATAAGCTGATTTTAAAAGTACTGCCACTGTTAGGCAATGCTGTTCCCCCTTTGAGTCCACAGGATTATAAATGAATTGAAGTTTGCTTTCCAACCTTCGGCTCTAAATCACTCCCCAGTCTCTGGACAATCAATGAAAGTGAATTTTCTGGCTCTGCAGAGCATAAGCCCAGGTTCCTCCATGGCAGGAAACTGGAGGGTGTCTGGTTAAGCTGACTACCGAGTGTCAAGTCACTTGGCTCCTCTCCACTTACATTTCATTCACTGAGCCAAGTATGCTAGGATGCTTCTCTTGCATGATGCCATTTTGATTTTTCAGTGGGCCTGGAGTAAAGTTGCAGCTATTTATACATTTGTAAATAAGCTGCCTTGCAGAGTCAGCATGGGAAAAGGCAGATGCCGTTTTATATGGAAAATGAAAATGCTTTCTGTGCCTGAACTTGTTTTTTATTATTCTGGCATATTCTACTTGACATTCATAAGGGAAGAAGCCTCGTGAATGTGGGGATTAGAAACCTATTCGAGTACATTCAATATCTTCAGCCTGGCTTCCTGTCGGACACCCAAAATTTGCTCAAGCAAGGGTCTTCAAGGTTTCTATACTTTTATCTACCTATCTATATCTATATTATTGTACATTAGAGGTCTATTGACTCAAGGGTGTCTTGAGAACCTGTTGAGTTTTCCTTGATTTGAAACTCCTGTCCATGTCTTCAGAATTTCTTGAGCTAACAAAGGGTGAGTATCGGTGCTGTAAAAGATTCTGGGTGGCACACTATCTAGTCGTCTGAATTATCTTTTCAGGGGAAGTTTTTTTTTTTTTTTTTTTTTTTTTTTTCCCCGTCTTAGGGTTCTAAGTCTTATTGCTAAAAGAATTTAAGAGTGGACTCAAATGGAATCTTGAAGACAGTTTCGTTAGACTTTAAAAGAAAAACCCTCAGGGCGGCCAAGCAGTAAATCTGACCAGAGAAGCAGAATGTGAAAGAGAGAGAAAAGAAAACCATGTTTTATGAAGCAGCGTGGAGGTTAGACACATGGCAAGCAAGTGGACACATGGCAAGGAGAAAGGAAGCCCAGAGTGTCAGGGAAAGGGTGCTAAGAGCACAGATACAGGGAAAGTCGCACTTTTCTGTGTCATTCAGGAAGGTGGGAAGACTGCATTCCGCAGGATACGGTGCTGTGGGGAGGAATCCGGGGGAAGGAAAAATACAGTATCTCTGTAAAGGAAAACATGCTCCACCTATCTCTTTAGATTGGCTTAAGAGGAGCCTACCTTCCTAGGAGCTAGACCTTGGACAGGTGACTGACCTGGCCCAACTGGAGTGTCATGTCCACCAGGCCAGAGATGCTGTTCTCTTGACCAAAAGGAGTATTTTTCTTTTCTTTTTTTAATGAAATACTTCATATTTTTATTTTTTATTAATTTTATATATCAACCAGAAATCCACCTTTCATCCCTCCTCCAGCTCCCCATCCCCCCCCCCCCCCCCCCCCCCCCCCCCCCCCGCCGCACGCCATCCCCTCTTCCAACAGAGTAAGTTCTCCCATGGGAGGACAGCTAAGCCTGGTACATTCAGTTGAGGTGGGACCAAGCCCCTCCCAGCTTTATCAGGAGTGAGCAAGGTATCCTACAATAGGTAATGGGATTCAGAAAGCCAGCTCATGCACCAGGGATAGATCCTGATCACACTGCCAGGGGCCCCTCAAATTGACCCAGCTACACAACTGTCTCCCATATGCAGAGGGTCTAGTCCGGTCCCATGCAGGTTCCACAGCTGTTGGTCTAAAGTTTGTGAGTTCCTTTGAGCTTGGTTCAGTTGTCTCTGTAGGTTTCCCCCATCATGATCTTGACCCTCCTTGCTCATAGAATCCCTCTTCCTCTTCGGCTGGACTCCCAGAGCTTGGAGCTCACTCATAAGTGGATACTAGATGTAAAGCAAATGATAATCAGACTACAACCCACAGCTCCAGAGAAGCTAGGAAACAAGGAGGGCCCTAAGAGGGATGTATGGATCACCTTGGGAAGGGGAAGCAGAAGAGATCTCCATGAGTAAACTGGGAATAGAGGGGCAATAGAGAGTAGGGGATAGGGGATGAGAACATGAGGGAACAGGATGGTTGAGCTGGGGGAGGGATGGAATGGGAGAGCAATGAAAGAGATTTTTTTTTATTAAGAGATTTTTCCATTCATTTCACATATCAACCACAGATACCCCTGTCCTCCCTCCTCCTACCCCCAATCCTTCTCCCCCAACCCATCCCCTATTCCCACCTCCTCCAAGGCGTGCCTCCTCCCATGGGGAGTCAGCAGAGCCTGGCACACTCAGTTGGGGCGGGTCCAAGCCCTTCCTCCCTGCACCAAGCCGGAGCAAGTGTCTCACCATAGTTACCAGGTTCCAAAAAGCCTGCTCATGCACTAGGGACAGGTCCTGGTCCTACTGCCTGGGGGCCCCCTAAACAGTTCAAGCTAAACAACTATCTCGCTTATCCAGAGGGCCCAGTCCAGTACCATGGGGCCTCCTCAGCTATTGCTCCACAGTTCATGTGTTTCCACTAGTTTGGCCAGTTTTCTCTGTACTTTTTCCAGTCATAGTCTCCATATATCTTGCTCATAGAATCCCTCCTCTCTCTCATCATTGGACTCCTGGAGCTCCACCTGGGACCTGGCCAGGGATCTCTGCATCTGCTTCCATCAGTCACTGGATGAGGGTTTTATGATGTCAGTTAGGGTGTTCAGCCATCAAATCACCAGAGTAGATCAGCTCAGCACCCTCTCAACCATTGCCAGTAGTCTATGGTGGAGGGAGACATTATGGGGTAAGGGAGAAACCTGGTGTTAGGGAAATTCCCTCGTATCCATAAGGATGACTCCAGATTAGACTACTAGCAACAGTGATGAGGGGACTTGAATTGGCCAATCCTGGTAATTAGATTGGCGAATACACTAATTGTCATCATAGAGCCTTCATTGAGTAACTGATGGAAGCAGATGCAGAGATCCACAACCATGCACCAGGAGTATTTTTCTTAATGAACCTTTTTAAATATTCTAACAATACAAAGATGATAGTTCATAAAGTTTGAGTTTCTATGTGTTGTTGATCCTAAAGTCATCACACTCAGAACTGGATTGGGAAATGGGGAATAGATTTCAAGGAAAGAATTTTCTGATTTATTATTGAATCTGATATGGCGAATCGCCCCAACTCTTGGGTTATTTATGTAGTGCTGTCTGACACACTATGCTAGGGTGGATTTTGAGGCCGTACTGAGTTCTGTAGATTTTTAGCACTATGACCCATTAGAGGAAAGAAAAGTGTGGGGAGCTCCAATGAGTTTCAGATCTGCAACTGTTGTGATTTATGATAAAAACTCTGGAAGCTGGTGGGTTTTGCATTTGAAGTGACACCTATGAAGAGGGGTAAATTGATGTTAATCATGAAAAATATCCAGATTCTAAGACTTTGAGAACTAGAATAATATACTTTACTTTTTATGTATTTAACACATATGTCACTGGGTGTGTTTAAAAAAAAACCTTAATCTTTTACAATGCTAAACATATTCTACTTAGAATGAAATAAATATATTCTGATTTATTTTTGTTACCAAAATAAATCTCTAGTGAAGAGGAGTCGTCTTTCTCTGTCTCCTTAATTAACTTGGTGGTTGTTTTATGAAAGCAGGATTATATAGTTCCATACTTTTACATGGAAGTCAGGGATAGTCGGTGAGAGTAGAATGGTGGTTCTGAGAGACCAGAAGAGGTGTATTAGTCACTTTTCATTGCTATGAAAAAC